GTCACTAAGTGAAAGTAAGCCATATAATCAGTAGAAACGTTTATGGACCAATCTAGGGGGGTTATTCACTAAGCTGCCGAAGGAAGCCAAGTAAATAACCGAGCTGAAGTGAAGGGAGCCGAACCGCGTTTGGCTTTTCACTTCAGCTGTGTATGGCTGTTTTCAGTCGTACATCGGCTGGCTTCAGCTCCCTTCAGTTCACTTCGGTTCAGCTGAACAGCCTCAGCACGTTCGGCTGAACTGAAGTGAAGAACACGTTCGAACCTTCGACAGTTCAGAGAGTGAATAGCCGAATGCTGCCGTGCAATGAAAATGACATACTGTATAAACAAAAGAAAATGTTTTAAAACATGGCGTGGGGTCCCCTCTCAAATCATACCAGACCCTTTAGGTCTGGTAGGAATTCTAAGGGGAACCCGAAAAAACGGGAATAAAATTGGAGTCCCCCCTAAAATTCCCAACCAGGTCTTGTGAGAATTTTAAGGGGGAACCCCACCACCCAAAAATAGAAAAGGAAACGTGGGATCCCCTATACAATTCCCAACCAGACCCTAAATCCGGGCACTGGCTGTACATCAGCCCTTCAGTTCAGCTGAACTGAGGGCTTCCTGCAGCCAAAGCGAGCCAAAGGATTAGCCAAAGATTTGGCTTAATCCTTTAGCTCTTTAGTGAATGACCGCCTAGGTGTTTATGGAAGCCCCAAAATATAAAAGAAGCATCCTTTCACTCCTTGGGGACTTGATTTTGGAGACTGGCCACTGAGGTAATCCATCCCATTAAATGGCCACTAGAGAAGCTTGGAAGGTGGGAGAGGGCAAGCTCAGGATCAAACCAAGGTTTACATATACATTCAGCATCCTATACCTCTGGTTCTTTTGATATAGTTACATTTGTTTTTGACTACATGTGGTCACCACTTTGCATTTATTTTTACAAGTTCAATTATAAGTGCTTTTTTTTTTACTTTTAGTGATGGGGCAAATATGTTTAAAATTCATTTAATGTTACCCTTTATAGGCTAAATTAAGGTATTAAAGATATCAAGCTTTCGGAATGACTTAGATGCCTCCACCCAGGCCTTATACATACATAGAGGAATATATACAGCTGGAAGAAGAGATCTAAGGCATCCCAAAAACATGCATATTTATTACCGTAGGTTAGCCTATAAAGGGTATATTTTAAACTAATCTTTCGGCATTAATCAATGGTAAAACAGATCTATCTATCTATCTATCTATCTATCTATCTATCTATCTATCTATCTATCTATCTATCTATCTATCTATCTATCTATCCATCTATCTACACAGCAGGTATAGAAAATAATTACCCCCCTTTCAAATAATCACATTGCATCTGAAATAAGGACAGACACAGTTTTTGCTTTATCCAGCTGTATTTACTCAGTGCAACGTATAACATCCAAGTGAAAGATATAACACTAACATGCCAGAATTGAAAAAAAAAAAAGATTTGTCGCACATAAGAATAACCTGACCTTGTTGCATGCGTATAAAATTGCAAGAATTGATATCTTGTTTTAGGGTGGCTCCTTTAATTTGCAGGGTCCTATTGAGCCACACCTGTTTGTGCTAGTAAGCTCTGTATGTCTCCACAAACACACAGGCAAGCCACTTTCCTCCCTCCTGCTCCCCGCTGCTTCCGCCCTCCTACCTTTTCCCTTCTCCAAGCTAGTAGACGGACAGCTCCATCAGACTGCTCTGTCCCGTGTGAGAATGTATTGGACAGGAAGTTCAGGGAAGCTCAGCTGAGAGAGTTGGAGCTGTTCAGAAAAATGATGACCTTAAGTGCTTGGGCAAAAATGTAAAGAAATACTGGGCAATGTATATTTGTTTAATCTGGACCTATGATTGAAAAAAGCTTGAGCGTTTAATACTACTTTAAAGCAGAGATTTGATGGGTGTGTTTGCCTAAATGTCTGTGAAATGCTAATATTTGCCACTACATCATCATACCAATACAACAACCCTAGAAAACTGTCAGCATCTATTTTAGCATGGGCAGGGGACATCACATATAAACGATTCTTCTGTAATCTGCTACATGGTATAAAAATAACCTTTTTACAAAGCAGATGGCACACAAATGTTATGTTTGTCGGTTTGCAAATATTTTGCCTGGAAATCTTTGCAGTATTCTTTAATCTTACATTGTTGTGTTTGATCGAGACTGAGAATCCATCATATTCCCTCCCGCAGAATTCACACACCGAAGTGTAAACACAAACAAACAGTTGGCCAGTATTTAGAATTCACTAATAACTATTCACTGTGACTTTCAGCAACCATTTCAGCACTTTGAAGCTTTTTTTCCTCATTTGAGAAAATATACAATACAACAACATGGGTTAATCAAAGGTAATGAAATTGGCTCTGTACCATGTGATCACTGTGGCCAATCACAGCTGTCACATAATGTAAACAATGGTTTACAGCTTTCTCTTCCTTTCCTCTGTCATTGTGAAAGGATAGGGAGAGATCTCAACATGACTGCACCCTCCCTGTTCACTACCATACCTGTAACCCCCTCTCTCACTAAGCTTCAAAGCCTTCCACCAACCTAACCTGCTCCCTAGGCTGTAATTTCTCAGGCTACAGTAGTTGGAGAAGAAGCAAGATCTGTGTTTTATCAGTTTCTTTAGGTTCCATAGGTGACATCAAGGGTTTAATAGACCCCTGATGTCTCCATAAAAAGGACCTGTCACATCGCTCGTTAGCCCCGTGTGTGATAGCAATAAAGTTACACGTAAAAAAAAGAAATTAAAAATTAAAAAGCAAAGTCACATGTAGCCCCCATTATCTTTTGTGATGTGACTTCTAGAAATGCAGTGACTGTCAGAGCTGTAGTCAGTCTGGCTGAATTATAGTTGGTGTTTATCTGGTTAATTCCAGTGTGACTCTGCTGCAGTGTGGGACAACCAACGAGGGACACTGTGAGTGTGTGTGCAGTTCACCAGCCAATCACTGGGGCTCTCACAGTCAGTATTGCGTGCTGGGACAGGGCATATATACTCCAGGGAATTGCCATGTGCTCAGTCTGACTCCAGCCATGGATTAGTCCAGGTTGTGGTGCTGTCCAGCCTGCCTCCAGGATAGGCCTGGGGGTGGGAATACTTGATTGTAGAAAATGCTCTTTTAGGCCTCAAGTCTAGAGGAGGCCTCTGCTATTGCTGGAGGAGGAGAACCAGGGAAGTTGATGGCTGCTGGAGGTGGCTGGAATATAGAGGACCTCAGGAGCAAGCTTGGTGTCTCTCCTACTGAGGGTTTGTGCCAACCCCTGCTCATCTGCTGCTCAAATAGCTAGTGTCAAGAGAATCTACACTGAAATACTAAAAGGGACTGGTGAGTTTGGAGTCTGTGTCTGTACTGCCCCAGATGTCTAGGATCCCTATACCCGCTCTCCCAGAGTAAATATGTTAATAAAGTTCTTCAGCATCATACTTCTGGCCTGGATATCGGCTCTGTGTGCACGACAAGAGGGCGGTTAATGCTAGTGGGGCAGCTGGTTACCAAAAATTCCTCTACAGGTTATGGGTGACCCAGGTTTATCTTGTGGCTCCTTCCGGGCTGAGTGCTACACACACACAAAAATTAAAAAACAAACTTTTTTGAAAGCCCCTCCACTCCCCCATGCACACATATACAAATGCGCCTACGTGTGAAAACGACGACTGCGCCACACGTTACATATAATTGCAAAGGTTGGAGTGAGAGCAATCATTCTAGGGCCATAAATGACTGTTAATACTAAGTGTATGAAAATCTTCAGAATGGGACACAGACAGCAAACATACTAAATACTTATCATTATACTTAAGTATTTATTGTCTATGCTCCTCAGCTCCATCTAGTGGCCATAATACGGTTTTACATCACATTACATTTGACCTGAAAAGAACATTCATTTTTGCCTCTATTCGCACAGGATGAATGTTCACAGAGATACGCAAGGTGAATGGCTCTGCAAATTGTTTATAAATAGACCTATACTATTAAGAAACAGACTCCAGAGAGAGAGACAGGTGGAGTTATGTACAGATCGAGCAGAGGCTGATAAAACAGCAAATTGAATGTTCACTTTAAAAAGTGAATGATAGTAAATAAGATTAACTTGTATTCATATTTAATGGCCAATTGTGTGAGGGAAATAAAAAAAATGATTTTTGCTAGCACATAATTGGTTAATTAAAGTGAACAAAGCAATAATAAGATTGCATCCTGAATATAATGTCCACAATTGGACAACAGTTTACAAAAAAAAGAAAGTTACAGTCAACTAAATGATTAAAAGTCATGGAGCTATAAGAAAAGAGTCAATAAATGGAATATATTCCTCCTTGAAAAGAAGCAATTAAAGGAGATGTTATCAACTTTTATAAATACACAAGTGGTCCACATAGTATGTGCACTATGTAAAGCACTGCGCAAATTATGAGCACCATAAAAATACCTATAATAAATAAATAAAATAAATATACTCAGTGGAAAGTTGTTCTCGTTCCACGCATAAGGCAAGGGGGCATTTTTTGAAGGGGTTCTTTGCTGTAACAGCTGTGAAAATGTGGCAAGGTCCTCTACAGAAACTGGTTCTAACAGTAGATTGCTGCAATTTTTAAGTGTCTGGATGTGTTTATAACTGCATGCAATATAAATGACTACTAATATTTATGAGAACAAGCATTCCAAAATGTAGATTCATTGAAATATCGAATTGCCTTCAGGGATAAAAAAGAATATTTGTCCCTGCTTTATAGGGTCTTTTGTCTTCCTCTGAATCAGGTAGGTCATACAGGTATATGATTTGCTTTGTAAGTTAATTTAAAGGACACAATACATGTTTTATAAAAAAATATATAATAAACATAAAAACTTGTCTTGCATGAAATGGGTAAAAACGACAAAATAGTAATAGCGTAAACCAATTTAAGCTTAACACAGGCTTAGTTGTCTTAGTTGGTACATAAGCAGCTGCCTTACCGTGGTAATAAAACCGGAAGCTGCCTGGGTTGGATATCTGCAAACTCTGGAAACGCACCATGACTTGATTGGTTGGGCTTCGGATCACCTGACCTCTCATCATGAAGGATTCATTGGCAAGGATTACAGGCTCCACCCCTTCAAGACTCTCCACTGTCACTGTCTCACCTTCAGAAAGACTGATATTCTGTACCTGTAGATGGGAAAACCATATTACAACTAAACACATAAAATTATAAAACCAACTACTTTACTTTAATAAAAAAAAGCTCTGCTGTTTGTTTTTATAAAAAAAGTTTTGCTGTGGGTATAACATTGCATTACACAGTGTGGTACAATATTACTGTTCCCCACTTTATCAACTCTCATGGGAAAATTTTCTTACCAGGTCTTTCATTTGGAGCTCATCAAAATCTTAGGCAGCGCCATGACCATACAGTCTGTTCGCTGTGCAGACATCAAGCTGCATTTAATTTGGATACCCCTCTGATTTCGAGGCCAGATACTTGTTTTGGGGGAGTCACATCCCTTTCAGTAAAAGTAACTAGATTCAGCTTCTTTGCCACATTACTGGCGTGTGATCAACACTAACTTAGGTACTACAAATGGTGGCAAGCCAATTCTATGTGGAAGGAGAAACTGCTGCTCCAAATTCTATGCAGTCAGTTAACAGCTTGATCACAGTCCAGGCGCTAGGCAAAAAGGCTCACCACTGCCTTGAACATCCATGTATCAAAAGTCAGCCGCACTCTGTAGATCTTCATCAAAATCAAACGTTTTTATTTCTAAAAACACAATACATTGTAATGCAAAGATCCCACGGGTAGTCAGCCACTTACGCATTTCACCATTAAGGCTTATTCAAAGTAATTTACCTTCAAATCTGTAGCGTGACATGTTGCGTATACTGTATACAAAGCTAGACACAAAGATTACATGTGTATATGTTACTATTTTATCTATTGAAATGTTTGCCTTTTGACCAGCTATTATTATGATGCTCACACCTCTGCTAGTCTGTAACTTAATGGGACAGTTTACTGCTTCCAGGGTCAGCTCCCTGCCTTCTGGTAATAAAGCAGGACAGAGGGCAAGAGACATAGCCTGGAGGTTCAACATGGAGATTACAGTATTTTATTAAATATGTCCCTGTGTGGGGTATATTTAGTTGATGGAGAAATAAAAGTTGACTGAAAGCACTGAAACTAGCATGGGTTGAATGAAACTCACATGACCAAACATATGCGCTCCCAACCCTTCTGGTAAATGTCAGAAATTCCAAATTGTTAGTTCAGGCCTGCTGTGTAGGAATCGGATGCCTCTTCCATTTAAGCCACAAGCTTCTTCTGTTGTCCCAATCAGATAGTGGTTAAAACACTTTCTAAACTAATGGAACCGCATACCACTGATCTATGGACATTGGAGTATGAATAATATCATCCAGACTAGAAATGGCTTGTTGTAGCTTTTCTATGCGAGAGCAGCATATGAGTGGGCTGACACCCTCATATCCTGTATACAACCCCTATGCAGAATTCTAATGTGTGAGGGGGTTGTAAAGCCGGTACTTGGCCAGGGGAGCCCACAACAGCTTTGCAGGGAAGGTGAGCTCAAGCTCTCAACTCACCTTGCTGGTTCCATACACATATCCGCAAAATAGGCCAAGTGCGGTTTCAAGGGAGGATTCCGCACGTTCATGCAATCGCGGCTATAGTAATGGCCGCAAACTAGAGGAATCCATGTAGATGTAAAGATTTTAATGTTTTCATGCTGTGTGGTCTTCCACATGGAAAACCATGCAGGAAACACAAACGCTATATGTGAATGGAACCTTAGGCCAGAGCAGGAATTTACTTACATGATTTGTAGGAGGAATCCGCTGCTTCCATAGTTCCAGGTCCATTGCATAGGAAAATCATGTTAAACACCTGAGGCCATATGATACATAGGCTCAGACGGCATGACAACTGTGCAGGGGGAACCTACCCAGCCAGTGCCAATGACTGGCCCACTGTCACCAGACCACCACATGGTCCTGCCCTGAACTGGTTGCTTCATTAAATTCCCAGGTATAGGTCAGATTTCCTTACAGGAATGAAGACACTCAGTCCATGCTTAACCTGTCTTGTTTTACCTAATAGATGAACAATGTAACATTCCAAAATATTTAAAGTCTCTGCTCAGTCCCCCTCAAACTTGTTCCCACAGTCCACCTCAAACGTGTTCCCACAGGAGGGAGTACTCTTTTAATAGAGTGTCCAGCTGCACTTGTAGACCCACTTGGGGAAAGAAACAGCAGCATTCTTCCTAAGTGGAACACCGACAATCCGGAAAGCTATACAGTGGTACCTTGGCTCACAAACTTAATTCGTTCCATGATTCTGGTCGCAAACCGAATTGGTAGTGAACCGAATCAAACTGTGATCAGACCGTGATTTCGACTATAGGAAGCCATGACCATGTGTCAGAGCAGGGAAGATGGCTGCGGTTATGTTCGTCACCCGATACAGTATATATACAGTGTGTATATATATATATATATATATGTATACACACTGTATCTTCTAGCGGGTAGAGAAAAACCCCTGAAAAGAAACTAAGGATACTACACCCCCTGCACTCCCTCACCCATAGTAACAGGGTCTTACAGACTGATAGCAAGAGTCATGAGTTAAACAGCTTCAGTTGCATCCTGAAAGTTGACCTTTTTCATTGGCTTAGACCTGCTGAGATGCCAAGCTGATGGTCAATGGTCTTTAGAATGTTTACCTGTCTGAAAGAGGTAAGGGAGGCCCTGAATAGCTAGTGTTTTTATTGGTGTCTAGATACCTAATGATTTCCTCTCACTTTCTACCTTGTGACTGGCATCCCTGGGACACAAAGTGATCGAAAATCCTCCTGGCAAAGGTTCTAATCCTTACATACTCTATTCAAAAGAAACAAAGTTTTGGCTGGAAGTAATTTTAATTTGTAACCTGGAGCAAGTTGTAGGCAATGGTGAAAGCTTTGAAAATGTAAAATTAATACTTTTTCAAATGAAAAGAAACACCACTTTGGTTTTGTGATTGAAACATTGCGTACAAGTGTTTGAACTTCAAATGAGGAAAATCAGTGTGATTCAATTCTTTAGAACAACGAAACCAACTGGTAACCTCCATAAACGGTGGAAACTGGTGCATTTCATGCTGAATTTTCCAGTCTACTGATGTGATGTAATCCTCAACCTCATCATATCCTGTTACACATTATAGACTGAGACTACGGGATTCACAGTGTTCTACTGGACTCCGTTTGTGCAAAACGTGCAACGACCAGCTTTCTACTCGGGCATTTATCTTGTTGCTCAAAAAGATGTATTATGTTTCTTCTTTACACAGCCAAACAAATAGAACTTATAGGATTAAGATGTATACCGGGTAACCACAGGACAGTCAGCCTTACATCAATATTATGCAAAGTTTTTTAGGGAATGGTTAGAGACTATATTCAAAAATTTGCATATGATAACGGTATCATAACATTTTATGAGGAAGTAAGATCTAAGTTGGATAGATGAATCCCAGTTGATTTAGTCTTTGTATACTTTTCAAAGATGTTTGATACAGTACCCCCAAAAAATGGTTAATTTACAAATAAAGGTCGATTTGCATTGAAGAACCTATAAGTATATGGATAGAAAACTCGTTGCAACACCACATCTAGAGGGTAGGGATAAACAACTAATTCTCAAACTGGTGAATAGAGTGACCCAGGGTTCTGTCCTTGGGTCACTTCTGTTTATCCTGTTCATAAATGATATAGAGGTGGGAATCAGTAGCTCACTCTCTGTATTTCCCGGATGATACAAAGTTATGCAGGGAAATAAGTTTGCAACAAGTATCCCTGCAGCAAGACCTTAGTAAAATTGGGGAGTGGACAGCAGCATGGCAGATGAATTTTAATCTAGATAAATGAAAAGTTATGCACTTGAGAACTAAGAACATGCATGGAGACCACACTTTGGGAGGAGTTACGCTGGGGAAATCAAAGATGGAGAAGGATTTAGGGGTCCTTATAGACCACAGACTCAGCAATAGCATGCAATGCCAAGCTGCAACCAATAAAGCAAGTAGAATACTAACGTATTAAAAGAGGGATTTATTCAAGGGATAGAAATATAATTTTAGCACTTTGCAAAACACTGGTAAGGTCCCATCTTGAGTACACGGTTCAGTTTTGGTCAACTATCCTTAGGCGGGATGTCCATGAGCTAGAGCAAGCTCAAAGAAGGGCAACTTTTATGAGAGGGATAGTGGGCCTGAGTTGTCAAGAACGTCTACAAAAATGTAATTTGTTCTCCTTGGAGAAGAGACGCTTATTTAGAGACATGATCGCAATTTACAAACTCATCAGTGGGGACAGCAGTATTGGGAATGCACTACAGAAACCAAGAACTTTGAGGAAGATATGAGGGCACAACAAGAAGTTGGAGGGGATGCGGTATAATCTTAAAGTGCGCAAGGTTTTTTTTTTTACTATGAGAGTGGTAGAAATGTGGAATTCACACATTGTGTTGGCAGATAACATATACAGCTTCATAAAACACTTGGATGTGTTCCTCAGTTTACAAAAAATACAGGGTTATGGAAATTCCTACCAACACACACACACACACTATAGGTTGAACTTGATGGACCTGTGTCTTTATTCAGCCTCCCCAACTATGTAATTATGTAAGGATACACTGCTGCCTATGCAGCTGCTGTAAATCCTGTGGTCATGTGCAGAGACAATTGAATAAGAACTATAAGTTAATACCTAAAGCAAACTTGTCATAAGACAAACGTATAGCATCTATAGTATCTCTTGACATGTAAATGTGACTAACGGATCTGGTAGGGAATCTGTCTCATGACTAGATAGTAATCTTTCAATGAGGATACTTGTTCCAGTGAAGGAGCAAAAGAAGGGATTTCCCCTTACTTTTGAGAAATTTTCTCTCACTTGTTGGAAGGAATCTAACAGGTTTTAATTCTATTCTAGAACTCACATCCTACAAAATCCAAAACTAGAAAGAAAAACGTTGGCTTAAGACACACTTTCAAGTGCTTAAATATGAGCACACAATGACAGGTTTGCTCTTCTAACAAATATTGTCCTATTACTAAGAGGCATCTTTGATACTCAGACCTAGAAATATGAAATACGGGTTTT